ACAGGGGCGAAGTTACAGCAAGTAGTATAACCGAAATGGCAGCACACACAAACAGAAGGTTTGCGCGTACAGAGTATGAATAAACAACGAGCACAGCAAAATAATCATTGGTACCATTGGTGATCATAATGAATGTTTCTACTAAACCAATCGCGTTCTCTTCATAAAAGTGGGGTCACTACAATTATATGTGAATATTGACTATTTAATGTACTACCTGTCTCATATTGCTTCATCGGGAGCAGCAGATAGGTTCGAAACGGATGCCTTTATTTGAGTAGCTAGGATTACTCCTTATGCAGTAATTCATCATCAAGTTGCCTCGTACTTTCCCTTAGCCTAACAAAAGCACTCATAAATATCGAGATCGGTCTCCTTAGCGTTTATCTCCTAATACCATGACACAATTTGTGGAGCGTCTGTATACCTTGTGTATGAGATTTCCCTTCCTTCTGTTGAGAGAAGGAGACACAATGTCTTGACTTTATGGATATACGCAAATTACATTTGAACTCTGTCAGAAATAGCTCAACAGGTAACGCTCGTTATCCTCTCCTGTTAACGTAGTGAATAGAGCTAGCTCTGGCTGCATCCACTTGGTAGTTATTATTGGGGTCCAAACTTTCTGTCGTTGATAGCTAGGAGCATTTGGTTGGGACAATAGTATGAAGGGAAAGGTTTTTGTGTCCCGCGATCTGAACGTTCGTTGAGTGATACTCCAGTTGATTACATTGTAACACAGTGACCACCATCCATTTTCCTATCGTTGTTAAGTATTTTCTCGGTTCAACTTAATCATTCTTTTGTCTTATGCCCCTTCATATCTCCGCATTGGCCACTTGGACTGGTGCCTCTGAGCCAATTTCATTTCAATCATTACCAAGGATTATTAAGAAATTTGGACACCATGCAAAGCTCCTAATGTTGGACCTTCCAGATTGCCTTCGCTCTATTTATCTCGATGAGGGACATCCCGTTCTCTTGGCAGTCTCGGAACCAAGAAAGAAGAGGTTCAGTGGGACTCCTTTTCATGATATTTTCCACAAGTAATATTGAAGGTGTCGTGTCAGACTATTTCAGGAAGTTGAGGAAAAAAGGTTAGACCGGTATATTTTATATCCAAAATGTTAATAGTGGGGTTCTCCAAAAGAATAGATACGAAGTAAATAGGACCTTCATGTTGTTAGTATGATAAGTCTTCGATTGTACTTGAGCGAAGCCGACTCTATAGTGCCATACAAGATTTTAGTTATGCCTCACCTAGCATCATTATTCCAAGCAATAATGTTGCTGAGTAAAATCATAAGAACTGTATCTAACAATAATCATGCATCCATTGTTTAGATGGCAGTACTTGTTTAACGAAAACCATTTTATCACTTGAAAGCTTGTCAGTAGTTGTTCAGAATTGCATAAAAAAATGCACATTTGACATACTGTCTATTTGCGGATACAAGCTACTCTATAGGCCATGAAAATTATGAACATTTGAAGTTTTAAAACCAATACAAAGATGTGAATTGATAACGAAGCACTTATAAGTCTTCCCTTCACCATCTACACAAAAAGATAGGGATAGGGTTATAAGCTGTAGTGAGCGAATCCAGATAACAGATTGACTATGCTCACTACTAAATGTTCCATACGGTCGCGTCACCGAAAGCAAAACGAAATAAATCCATAGTTCAGTTGTTTATTGAAGGAGAACGTTGGCATTACATAGGGAGCAGCAAATAGAGAAACATGGCGGCAACGCGAAGAGAACGTTGCGGGCAAGAAGTCGAAGAAGTGTTTTTGATACAGTTAAACAAAACGAGTACAATAATGTTTATTTTTCACAAATCGTATTTTCTTCGTAGAAGCGTTCCACTACAAAGCAATGCCTTAAGAGTTTGTGAAGTGTGCCGTATCATCACTTTTCACTACATTTCCGTCTTTTTATCCAGTGAGTGTCGGGCATTAGAGTATAATTTCCATTAGAGAAATCGTTTCATGCATCGAACATAGAAGCCTCAAAGGTCAGGGTGAAAATATGATGACAGTATTCAGAGTATGTTCCTTGAACATTCGAACCCTATATAGTAGCCTTCACCATGTTAGTGTTAAGAATAGGATTCTAAAGTTTATAATAGCCTATATTTCGAGGACATGACATATGGTTTTATATTCATTCACGTTCTGAAATATAAATATTATAATCTTCACTGACTTTACTTAATGAAATCACGTTCTTTAAGTAACAAATTCTTTTGCAACACATCTGATGAACAAAACCTCGATAGCAGTTATGTTAAAAATAAATTTTCTCCTATACCTTTCCATTCTTTACAACCCTTAAAGTTTATTTGTGATCACATTAAATAATTAATAATTTTTCCCACAGCTTATGATCTTGATTCTCAAACTTCTGGTTTCATTACTGTCACTTTGTCAGTTTGTCGTTCCGTTATTTACAGTTATGTTACGTTATCTAGCTAATTTATCCAAATGACGATTAAAATTTAAGACTATTTATACCAAATGAAAACTTATCAGTTAACGTAAATTTGCAGTGCGTCATAGATCCCGTCGTCCTGATATCTATTCACAATTGTTAAGTGAATCAAAATTAATGATGTTCGTTTTCGTGTTATAACTAAATAACTAATCTATCGAATAACGAAATTTAAATACATTGTTTAGATCTAGGTTTTTCTATGGAGTGATATCGATCAAATAATCTAGTAGTACCGAACAGTCATAACCTTTTAGTGAGCGAGTCAAGATACCAGATTGACTATGATCACCACTAAATGTTCCATACGGTCCCGTCTTTCATATCAAAACAAATCCATGTACCAAGATTTTATTGAAGGAGACAGTAGGCATTACATCGGGAGCAGGGCATTTAGAAAAAATGGCAGCAACGTGAAGAGAACGTTGCGCGCTAGAAGTGGAAGAAGTGTTTTTGGTACAGTTAAACAAAACGAGTTCAATAATGTTTATTTTTCACAAGTTGTAGAAGCGTTCCACTGCAACCTATTAAAGTTAGGAGTGAACAACTATCTTTTTACTCCAATCATTTTCGCGTTTGTAAGTTCTCAGGACAACAATCAGGTTTACATGCGCTGAAGTGGCTAACTATATTAAAATAATCGATTCAGTAAAATTTCTTTAATTCTTTAATATATTCATGAAATGAATTGCTATAAAGAGATTCTTAAAAATGATTGACAGATAGGGTGTATGTTAGGTAGATATCGAGTCAATAATTTAACAGTACTAATGTAGTGAATGAGAACACAGGTGGGGCAACCGGATTACAGTTAACGAAAATTACAGAGTTACTCAGTAAAATAGGAAAACCATATCGTAAATCGTTAATTTGCAAAATATCAGTTCATCATATCGAACTGGACTGTTCCTGTTGCAAAACATCAATCCATTTTCACTATTGATGCGTTTCATACAAATTCCATTGTTTTCTAACTCTTCCTTTCTTGATCTTCCTCCATCTTCTGCTGCCAGACATTACGTTGACGCTCACGTCATATACTACTTATAAGTAGCTCGCACCACACTAATAGATATAGAAGCAATGACAGTTCATAATGTAATGTGCCAACTAGTAACTTATTAAGCGAACAAGTATGTATGTACTCTAGTAGTCACTACTGAATCAGAACTGAAGAAACAGAACAAAGGAAACTTGTTCAAAAATATTGTATGCTGAAATTGTAATTTCACGATTAAGTGTCTAGAAAACAATCAGGCGCCACAAGTACTCGTAAACAAAATGTTCACGATCGTTATCAACAACATGAATTGTAAACACAGATTTAAAGAGAGAAATTATGATAAAAGTTACTTACACATTAAGTTTCCAATGATCCCTACAAGTTATCGTTCTGTTTACAGGATTTATGTGTTAAATGTTCAATCTTTTACAGAATCTTTAAGAGTTTGCACACTAGAACGAAATATCGACCCAGTAGTGTGGTGTGAGCTACTTATAAGTAGTATATGACGTGAGCGTCAACGTAATGTCTGGCAGCAGAAGATGGAGGAAGATCAAGAAAGGAAGAGTTAGAAAACAATGGAATTTGTATGAAACGCATCAATAGTGAAAATGGATTGATGTTTTGCAACAGGAACAGTCCAGTTCGATATGATGAACTGATATTTTGCAAATTAACGATTTACGATATGGTTTTCCTATTTTACTGAGTAACTCTGTAATTTTCGTTAACTGTAATCCGGTTGCCCCACCTGTGTTCTCATTCACTACAATAGTACTGGATGACATTCTGTGATTAACACAATCATGTATCATAAACAATTTGTCAAATATAAATTCCGTTTCCAATTTTTTTTGTTATGAGATATCCCATTTCATAATTTTCTTTTGACTATTACTAATGTTGAGTTATTTTTAGTCGCCTCTTATGTTTTCTTTTTTTTAGGAAAATAAGATGAAATTAGAAATGCTAATAAAAGAAAAATCTTGTCAATCTGCATTGTTGTAGATCTAAAACTTGTTTTTACTAAATATAACATAAATAATAATTTGTTGATTTATTTCACATAAAATTAGTTATTTAGCTTTCGGCTATGTAAATTTGAAGAAAAGGAATTCCCAAAACAATTACTAAGAATAATAGTAATAATAATCATAAAGGCAGTACAATCTAATTTAATTAGTCATTAAATATATATATATATATATATATATATATATTGAAATTTAATTCAATATACTAATTATAGTATATTTTTCGTAATCATTATTGATATATGTAGTTGTTTATTGAGTACAAATATATGTAAGATTATTTTATTAGGTGAAATTACTTGCCTATTAATCTATTTTGACCAATCAACACTATTTTTTATTAAAGAATATGTATATATATATACATACAATAGTAATTTGGTGAAATAGTATTTGTCACTTATACTTTAGCATACATTTTGCAAGTATTTCACTGTTTGACTTTTTTCATTATTTGTCATTAAACATCATGAACACTGATCAATCCATATTGTCATCGACTACAATGAACCAGTCACTGCATAATAATAATAATAATAATCTTTATTCTTCACCAACAACAAATACATCCGATTTCAATACAATGATGACGATGATGATGATGATGAGATCAAAGAGAAAGTATAGTACAATTCCGATGACTACAATCAATCCTACAGAAGATAATTTATCAATGACCATTGAACACAGACCAATAATTATGAATCATGATCAAATTAGTTCTAATACTCTATCGATTCATCAGATAACTGAAAATCAATTGAATTTCTGTAAAAAAGAACATTATCGTGAACATCAACGTCGTAAACGTGCATCATTACAATATCGTCATGCTCATGCAGCACGTGAACGTCAACGTGTAGCAGAATTTAATAAAACATTTAAAAAATTACACAGTCTATTACCAACTAATGATTCAACTGGTCGACGTTTATCAAAACTTCAAATTCTTAAATTATGTTCTTCTTATATTTATTATTTAACTTGTCTACTTCAAAATAACAATTGTAACTGTTCAATGTTAAAATAATTTCGATTTCTGTGCATTTTAATAAAAATGTCATGTGAAAAGTTAATTTTAGTTAAATTGTCTAATTGTTTTTATTGTTGTTGTTGTTGGTAGTGGTGTTGAATACTTTTAATTGAATATTGTAATTTCTATTTACTGATCAACAATGTAATTCATGGAAAGTAAGTGTATGATTGAAATTTCAACTAACTACTCAATAAAATGATTCATTTTTGAAACCATGAATCGATCAATGTTAGACCACCATTATCAACCATCCACAACGTGGATGCGCACTGCTGATGAGGCCCATACCAAGACGAAACGGCCGTCCAGTGCTTTCAGGTTTCTAATGGTGGTCTTTTTAAGATTGAGTTAACTTTACTTTTTCTTAGGCTACAGACTTCCTAATGGTGTCCTCCACGGTTCCGTGAAAGGACCTCTTCTCCTTTTGGGTTATAAAAAATGACCTTCCTCAGAGAATATCGGCTGAGTTACTACTTTTGACTGACACTGTTAAACTATGAAGAGAAGTTTGCAACCAGTTTGATAAGCAGTCGCCTCAAAAGGATGCGACTCGACTTCAAACCCTATAAAGAACTCTTCAAATCCTTATACATTTATACATTTTCCATGTTACATCGGAGAGCAATTCTTTCAGCGTTCATGCAAACAGAACGAGACGCTCTCGGACGAAATTGTTGGTTATAACTAATTACAGCAATTGAAATACGTAATGGCCACTGCATATCAAGCCCATTTAAGGTCGCTAAAATGAAGGGACCTTACGTCTTTACCATGTCGGTAAGTTGAGATATGTTACAAATATCATGCCGTGTAATTATATACGAAGAAATATTCTTTCACTCTTTACGTTATTTCATTTTAAAAGCACTAAATTAGTTAAGTTTGATAATTTTGGTTTGTGATTGATTGTTTTCATTTTCCCCTACATGCTTGTTGATTGTCTTCACGGGTCACCTCAATACAACTTAACAGATTAATCATTTCTGTATGAGTTGGCACTGTAAATATAAAGCAGTGCGTTTACGTATAGTCAACTGATTTGAATATCATGCCTTTTGAAGTTCTAAGGCATTTTTGAAATTTTTTCTAACCTTAATTCTACAATTTTCTCAATCGAATTTATCTGACTATGGTTCCTTATATGCATAAAATATAAATAATAACATATCATGTCCCCATAATGATAATCGATATTCGTATGAGGCATTCTTAAGTAACCAGTTAGAATAATCAATGAAAATGTTAATTGGCGTAAATATTTTTAGTTGTGTTGTTTATTGAACATGGATACCCTATTTGTATGCTGTCATTAAAAGTGATTTACGTTAATAAAAAGATAGGTCAGCTGATCTTTCCAAATACAGGTATAACCTTAATGTACTTTTGATAGTCTGTTGTTTCGATATTGCTTGGAGTAATTGTTAGGATATTCATCCAACATCCTAAGAGAATTATTGGTCGAATCCTATTGGTCGATTTCTATTGGTCAAAATTATGGTCATTATAACTGTCAAAGTCAGATACTTCAATGTTGTTTCTTATTGGTTGTCCTGACTATCAATGTCACTTCAAATGTTACTTCCTACTGGTCGTCTTAACTGTCAATGCCACAGAATTCAATGCTGTTTCCTATTCGACCAAAATGTATAAATACGCATTATTTGTAACGTTTATTGACCACGACCAGGATCAGGGCTCGGTCCCGGATCCCTAGTCCGGGATCCTGATTCTCTTCTGGATTCGGACCTCGTACTTTCTGGATGCTTGTAGAATACATGTTCTACTTCATATCACGTCTTCTTATTTTTAACTAAATATGGGGGTTGTAATAATCAGATTTGAGTAACATGTCGTGTCACCGGATCCTCACTGTCGTTTCCGACTAGGTAAACTCGTTATAGTTCAAGTATATCGAGTTGACGTGCTTACGTGCAGGCGTAAGAGTAATTAACTTGATGACAAAGATCTTGTCTGAGAATAAAACAACGATTTCACGTATGATTTTAAAAATTTATCGATAATATCTTTTGGATAAATTAATTGAATGTTTGGATAGTGAATCTTTTAGTATGTTATGTGTGTATAGCTGACTCAGTAAGGATGATTGGGATATGTCTTTTTTTATACAAAATGGATCTAGCAAGGCTAAACCAACCGAATGGTTTATCCACAACAGAATGCTTTGAAAATGACGAAAAGCACTTGAAAAAAATAACTGAAGATGGGATGTCAAGCAGGCGCTTTGTCATGATTCATTAATGATCAAGTGGCGGCTGAGGAAAACATGGTAATCACATCTTTGTCAGTGAAGACCACGCGAAATGTTATCTGACAACCACAGTTCGCGCATTACCAGTGTCTGCAACAGACATACAAAATGCTTCTAGAAACGACCCCGTCATCAAGATGACGATGAAATATGTCATTATCGTTCGGCCATCGAAGAAGTTTGATGGTGACATGAAGCAACTGTATCGACGGCGGGATTCACTATGCATCGTGAACGACTGTTTTATGTTTGGTGAAAGAGTAGTGGTGCCAGAATCCCTTCGTGCAAAAGTGCTGAGACAGTTCCATCTCGGTCATCCAGGGGTTAAACGAATGAAGTCCATAGCCAGGAGTCATGCATACTGGCCTCTCATGGATCAACATATCACAGCGGTGGCTGAAAGATGTATGCGGCGTCAGCAGGCGTCAAAGATGAATGCCAAAGTTCCACCGGTTTCATGGCCCAAACCTGATCATCCATAGTCCAGGATACACCTTGACTTCGCTGGTCCGATCTATGGAACTATGTATTTAGTTGTGGTCGACGCCTTCTCAAAATGGCCAGAAATCAGCCTCGTAATGTTGCCCACTACAACCAAGAAAATACAGCTCTTCATCGAAATTTTCTCTTGAAATGACATGGCAGATGTGATCGTATCTGACAATGGGTCTCAATTTACCTCCACACAATTCCAAACTTTCAGCCAACGACTAGCCATTAAACACTTACGCTCGCCACCATACCACCCCAATCGAACGGGTAAGCGGAAAGGTTTGTGTATATGTTTAAAAGAGCATTGGTCAACTCAAAAGCCACCCGACGCGTTACAAAATTTTTTGTACGTCTATCGAACAACACCAATGAGTTGTTACCGGAGCAGAAGTCCCAAGCAGAAATCCTGATGGGAAGAAGACTGAAAACGATCCACAGCCTGATGCATCCGACTAATGCACCAACATCAGTAGAGTCAAAGCCGCAAAGGCAATCCGCTTACGAAGTGGGATGCCCTGTGTTTGCCCGTGACTACAGAACGAACCATAGTCCTTGGGTAGAAGCGCAAGTGATCAGAAGAGTTGGGCGAGATATGTACGGAGTAGAGGTCGAAGGCGAAAGCTGGTCACTCCATCGAAAGCAGATACGCAAACGGCTAGCCACAGATTGCCCATAAAGAGCAGAAAACCTTTCCATTGACATCCTGCTTGATACCTTCAACCTACTGGCAGCCCCGCCACAAGAAGAAACTCAGCAGCAAGCTGTTCTTCGTCCCAGAAGGTATCCTCTCAGGCCGCGCGAACGACAGTCAAGATGCAAGTCGACCCCAGGAGCACACTCTATTAAAAAGGGAGGAGCGCTGGGGATGTTAGATCGCCAGAAATCGCTTGATAAATATCTTTATTTTGGATTTATTGCATGGACCGATCGGTTGACCTTGAGATCGCATTCTCACCAGGAAAACCCATGGCTGTGATTGGTTACTGTGTCATTTTAGTGTGCTATTTTTGTGACTCTGCCAAGGACGTCTCTATAGAATATAAATAAACGCGATTTGAGTGCTTGGATTGATTGTGTGCTGGCTGGGTGTTTGTAGAATTCACTTTCTACACTATACCAAGATTTCTCGCTGATACAATTTGGTCAAGGGATCACAGTAGCCTACCTGGACACTGGTTCATTGTTTTGTTCTCTTTATTTGACTAAGGGGAACTCGTAATAGTTTAAGCATACCTAGAGACGAGCGTAACAGACTAAGAAAAGAAAGTTATGCAATTAAACATCATAGAATTCGTCGTATCGTATGAAGGGAAGTCACTAATAAGAATAGGAGTAAATTACATGGAAATCAAAACGTTCCGAAATTCATAATGTTGTTAAGGTATGATTTGAATCAACCCTAACGGGCTGTTACGTTGGACTGATCACGATAACCGATAAGTGAGATAAAGGTCTTATGATGATTCCAGGAAGTACCAAACAACTGTAGTAAACTAATTCTAGATACCGAAATTTATTTTGTAGATTGAAGAACGCTCAAACACTTATCTGATTTGATTTCAGATGGCCTATGTTTCCAATAAACATACACGGCAATATGCAACGCCTCAAATAATAGTTTTTGAATGATACAAATTATCTAAACTAGGCTTAATACTGATTATCAGCCACTGGAAACAATTATCAGTATCATTTACACTAATCTTATCTGAACTATAAGCTTTTATTTTGAGCACTGAAAATATATCTCATGAGATTCAGAAACAGTTGCATGAATCGAATCCGAACTTCATTACACTAATATATGAATATTGCCATGAATCAGTCATCGTTAGTATTCAATAGCCTACTGACAATATCTCAGTAGTATATCAATTAGTTATCAATTTGTTTAGGAAGACTTTTAAACACAGAAATATTAACATTAACAAGTTACAAAGAATAAAGTTGATAATATGAGGGGAGAAAATTATTTCGAGTTACTCCTCAATTTAAATGATGAAACGTACAAATGGAAATTTCATTTCATTTCCGCATCCCTCACTGCTTCAAATCATTCTGATAAGTGTTGTCACCAGACAAGTGTGATGCTAGAACTCTTTCTCTCGAAGTTACCATAGCTTCACTAACAAGCTTACAAATTAATCCTGATGATATCTTTGATCATAATAATTCATCAATTAGACGAATGGTGGTCACAGATTGAATTTCTGAAGATCAACAATTACATTCAATTAAAAACCTCATTCACATGATTCATCGAATATATAATGCTTTTCCGAACTGTACAATGATCACAGATGACACCATTCATTACATAAATTTCATTTGACATTCGGTGGTATTTTGGTCATTGAATGACCGACTACTAAAGAGCAGCAATATAGGGGGGAGAAAAAATGTTAAAGTCATATTTCCCGACATTGTCAAACTTCATATCAACTACACATGGATACTGACTTAACCAATCGATAAAAGATATCTCTAGCATTTAAGAAACTCTACTCGATTGAGAAATCGGATTGACTGTGCTAGAACATCGGATTGGTAAACCATAATATTAGCAACTCGTGTTCAATAATCCAAAGTTCGTCACTGTGTGGGTGCGAACAATATGGAAGTGTGGTCAGTACTTCATCACTTTGTATCTCATTCCCACACTCACACTGGCACTGATTCCCCCCTCCACACACACACACATAACCATGGTCAGTTAGTTGGCTTATTACGAAAGCCTCTTTTGATCTGTTCGATGAGAATTGACCCATCCCAATAATGCTGGTTTCCACTGTGTTGTGTTACTCACAAGAAACACTGATATCATCTGACATTCGAATCATTCAACAGATGTGTGATTGATTGGACAAGCAACATAAGACAAACTGCGCTATGTCATGTTCATTGACCATTGCAATGTATTACACCACTTTACTCTGTTTGTCGGCTACTGGAGGAGGGAGACATGTGTGATGAGTAGAAGATGAAGTCACCCAAAACATTGTATTCGATGAGAGTATGGAAGAATAATGTGTTGATCAGTGATTACGTTAATTGCGACCAAGGTTGTATTGAACAGTGATTATAATAATTGGTAATGGTTGCTTGCAGAACGCACACTGAATAGTTCATTCGACATGAAATGAGAAATGGTAGAGCGATTCGTTACTATGTGTACTGAAGATGTCATGGATATTCAGGTCTGGAGATCACTTATGTTCGTATCACTTTCCTAATCGAATAGAAGGAGTTCGAAAGCATATGGGAAGGTTAGTTGTGACGTAGAAAATTGAGTGATCTAAAGGGATGTATGTGACGGTGCATCGAACGAAGAAATGGTGAGGATGTGTGACTGATTGTCTTTAACTAAGTTGTGTCCACTAAAACTAGTGATATCAGCATCAATGTAATTTGAACCCAGCTCACCGTGATGGTTCAGGGAATCAATGCCAATATGAGTATGCTGATGAGTCACGAAGGGTGAAGGACTGACGACACTTCCATATTGTTTGCACTCACATATTGACGAACTTTGATTTGAAACTGTACAATGTTCACAATTGACTCCGGTCATTACATAAATTTCATTTGACATTCGGTGGCATTTTGGCTATTTAATGTCTGTCACGTTACAAACTACGGTACTTCAATCAATGTACACAAATGTGAGAACGATGTAGAAACAGCTAAAACATTTTGTATCTCTGCGTATATAATATCTGTGATTATTTCTTGTCTACAACATTATTGATCTATCAAATTCATGTTTAACTTTAGTTAATTACTAAAATAAATCACATGGTGAAAATATACAGCCAGACAAGGTCACATACTTGGCACACATTTATCAGACTACAATAATCGAAATTGTTATATTGAATAAATCGATCTATGAATTATTACAATGATCGATAACTTACAACACAGAAAACGGATTTTCCTGTTAGTTTGTTAATCAGTTAATTAGTCATTGAATCAGTCACTCAGTTATGTGCAACGTAGAACCTACCACAATCATGCGTCGACCAGCAATCGAGATCAGTCAGGTGAAACTATATTCGGTCCCATTGTTCCAGTCCAGTAAATATCTTGTTCATTCTTAACCCTCCAACCTAGACCACCACCAACCGAGATTTCCGCAGTTAATCCATCAGGGTGTGCCTCTCTATACTCTCAATTCAAATCAGCTAACACCCTTTCAACTTGAGCAAGACCTGAGAGGTCTTGTTCTATGTCTCATTCCGGTCATCAGGAGAACGTTTCTCACTACGGGTTGGTTAGAGTCAAGTGATTTAGAGCTTCGTTGATAGTGCCATGTCATTGTTGAGATCTAAAAGACTGAAGAACACTGTTTGCTACTCGATCGCCGATTCGTAAATTGACTCTAATCCAAAATATGCGCATCTGATGTCTGACGAATGCATCATTGACGTGTTGCTACATGATGTGCACATTTTATTCAGAGATAATGTGAGTTTGCGTAATGTAACATTTAGGAATAATAATTAACGAACTAAACATCACTCCTTCCGATCGTGGAATCAAATGAACTTCTACTGTATGTTAAACTGATAACCCTGGTCTAGAAACGTTAGATCATCACATCCTAACCGTTTCTATATTCTTCACAATTCGCTTACATTCACATCCAAAACATAAGAGTTCACGTAATGACAATGCAAATAAGCTTAACTGACAATGTTAATTGAGTACACAAAGCTGGAATATCACTCATCTGAAGCAAATATTATCACTCTTCAAAAGTGATACACATCACATTCATTTTTGTAATCCTCAAACAGCTTCACAAATAAACTAAACACATCATAATCACAATGCGAAAAACAATAACAGGAAAGTAGACTAGTTTGATTTCTCACCATCATCATCATTACCACACTGTGATTGGTTAATCAACACTAGGTCACATCGTCAACGTGTTTGTGATGACAGAATGTGTCTGAGATGTAGCGTACATATCAGCTCATTGATTGGTTGTTCACTGTGTCCAATGCAATTGTTTATGCTTGAAGAATAAAAAGGTCAAATTGATTTGTAGCATCGAGTCATCCGACTTGTGAGGAGATACTTGGTCGTTCATGTACGTTATCCACATTTTGCTGTTTATGTTTATTGTCAGGTTAATTTGTGACTGAATGTGTGTAATTGACATGTTTAAATAGTAGTTTTGTTGCTTTGTGAAAAGTGGGTTATTGTTTATTTCACAGTATGATATCGTCTGGATTTGCCCTGGATGTGTCCTGAATATTGGCAGTTGTGATTGATTCTTGATTTGATTCAGCACACAACTACCATTGTGTATTTTGTGATTATGTAAAACTACCGTGCACGTAATGAGAATGGGAAATGTGGATTGACTAGTTTGAAATAATTCCATGTGATTTGCCTTTCTCAATGTTTTGTTGATGTTGACTAGGTTGTCACAGCTATAGAATTATAATGCTGATATGATTGTTTATGAACACTAACAGATGCTTGGAATATTTGGGACTCAACTTTACTACCATAAGATCTGTATAAATTGGAGTCTACACTACGAATATGTATGGAAGATATATTGGTGATTGATGACTTTCGAATTTCATCTTTTCTCCATAAAACTCATGATTAACATATTCGAATCGCAGAATATTAACTTATTTACCTATACAATCGGAATTACTGATACACAATTCAGTTATTCTTCAATCGTTTAGTTCATTATCAGAACATAAATATCTCTTCAAACTGACTAACAAGTTTAATCAATAACATACCTTGCCCAGTCATAAGCGTTATCACTCTTTTCTGTCATATTTTCGCGCTCCGGACACTATTTGACGGAACTCGTGTACAAACCAGTTGACATAATTTGATGGTAAGAAGAGTATGGCAGACCAAACCAAAAATTATTATCAGTTGATGAAGCTACTGAACTGATCCATTCTTGATGGAGTAATTTTTTTTTAGATACCAAATATCAATAGCAATATGATTTCAGAAAATTTAGTTAGCCTACGTGTCATCAGTAACAAGGTCGAATTTCCACAAAAGTTCTAATGTAATTATTTATTTACTTTCACCTCTTGATCTTATTTGATTCTTTCAAACCATGTATTTCTCATGCTTAGTCAGTCAGTCAGCCTCCTTGAGATTATTTGGAATTTTAGTCTGATGTGATATCTGTAAACTTGGGTTGAGGCATATTTTGTAACTTAATCAACATCAGTGAATTGTTATGAGTAGTAAAATCCGTCTGTGTTATGATATTTCATGACTAATGCATCCACAAATCACCGTTTTCATGCAATGTATAACGTGCATCAATTTGATAAGCTTATAAAACTAATGCTCATTGCAGTCATCGTAATGTCAGTTTATGTTACTAAGCCAGGTAATGCAATTCTAGTAATCAATAACTGATAAAAAAAAAAAGCTACTGTTTTCATTATCTTCCTATAGTCCAACAGATTACACTCTAAATTCCACTGAGGATTGATTTCGGAACTAGCTGAACAGATTTAATCAGACAGTGTAGTGTTAACTAGAAAGAAGTAGTGTATAAACTGGTACTTACGATAAGAGTAGAGAATTGCTAATCATCGTTAATTTGAAATTAGATAATGTGAATAAGCTTAATATTTTTACAGATAACAATCTTGTTTGGCTAACATTAAAGCTAGCTACCATTATTCGTAAGTATACAGTATAGATAGACAAATAACCGAGTAAATGGATGATACTATAAAGAGCCATTTTGTGAGGTATTCGAATCAACCGCACAATTGACCATAAATTCAATAAAATTGTAGTATTGCATTTGATGGTCGCATGCACTAGCCGATATTACATCCCAAAACGTGCAATCATTTGTGTGGATTTGACATGTTAACATTAAGCATCATAAATATTCGTTTACTTTTAGAATGAATACTGTACATAATGCTAAAGAGGTACATCTATCATGGTTACCTTCTACTACTGGATCACCTCCACCATTGAATGCAGTTCAAGCAGATTCTGGTATTTGTTTGATTCGAGGTAAAATAGGTGAAAATTTAATACCAGGGAAAATGCTTCTCAGAAATGGTGCAGCTTCTGTACTTGACAAAGGGAAAGACATTGTAATTTCCGAATTTGAAATTTTGTGTAACACAAACGTATTTTCAAATCAAACTTTGTAAGTAAAGTTTAATTTGACTGTGATTTTAAAAATAATCATTTAAAATTATTTAATTTATTTACAAATTAAATGTTGATCAATAATGAATTTGATACTGTCAGCCAATTAGACACAGATTAATTAAGGAATAAGTGGTTCACACTTAATGTTCAAGATTTCGTTAAACTTTCTGACTAACCAGACCTACACTATTGGTTGAATAGATGGCTTAATTTTTTGAAGGATATTTAGATCGGTTCAGCTTGGTTTTCCCAATCAAGTAACTGATCGGATGTGTGTATAGGAAGCTAGGATGTCAGAATCAGACCTTACCAGCCTTATACCATTCGATAATCTTGATTACCTTCCTTTTAAAACTTGTAAATCATGACGGCAAATAATGTGCCATCACGTTATCCACATAGCTAGCTAGTGGATCCAAATGGTCACTGTCTTGCTCAGTTGGCATTAGATTTAATTTAATTTCACTCTTAGCGATGATCAATCTATTCTATATCAATTTGTATCATAATGGGTTATATTGAGGCGATTCACACTAGATGCGCATACACCAAATCGGACTGATCAATTGTAGTCCTAACCGTCAATAGAAAGATTCCAACTACCAATGCAAAGATATCATCTAAGAGACATTATTTTTACGTATTTTAATATATATTTTTTTAAAACTGCATATCAATAAAATGTTTACTTCAACTAATCTCTCCATATTTGTATATATTTTTTAATTGTATTAGTTACAATTGGGTTCCAGCGTTTTTAGGCGAAGTGCCAACTGGTGCATTACTTGCTGGTATAATAACTGATACCAATGAATTTTTATATATTGCTCGTGCTATAGTAGAAGATGAAATGTGTATTGGTCAAGTGAATTGTTCACAAAAATTTGCACTTGTTTCACACAAGGGTAAAGAATACAAAGTAAAAGATTATGATGTTCTTTGTTTTGTCAAACAACAGAATTAAGAATTTTATGTCAAGTGAATTTGAACTTAAATATGCTTATTTTGTATAAGAATAATGATAATAATAATAATAATAATAATAACACTCCTTTTATTATTTCACAGTAAAGAATATTTTGAATAATTTGAAGAAAATTAATATATTTTTTTGATAAATATTATAATTGAGATCATTGTACATTATTATATTATCATAAGTATTATTCATGTAGAATAGAATAGAATAGAATGTGACTAGCAGTGGAACCCGAAGACGCGCATTTCGTCCTACTCGGCACTCGTCAGCTGGATGTAAATGCATCTCAGAGTAGATGTTCATTTCTATTGTCAAGATAGTTTATATCATCGAATCGAATTTGATAAAAGTTCAAACAAACATAAAGTGATCATTGTCAATAAAAGAGATAGAAAATAAGCATAGTTTGAAAAAAAAAAGAACTTGTCGCACTATTCTAGTCCATAAAGATTAACAGGGCAAATTTTTAAATTCACGACAGATTGTTTCTATATGTACAAGACGCTTTGAATTTGCGAACAGTCAAAGCTTCCGTAAACCTACCTATGCATTCGTCCTTTATTAATTTCCATAAAAAAAACGCCTTATTGCATAGGAAATAATTAATTTTCGGGCAGAGTTTTGGAGGTTTTGTGTTTTTACACATTTGAAATCATCAATCAATCATTGTTAAAATAACATTAGAAACCTGGAAGCACTGAAAGACGGCCGTTTCGTCCTGGCATGGGATTCATCAGTGGCAGTGCGCATCCACGACTCCTGCTCCTCGCAGGATTCGAACCCGGGACCTTCTGCATTGTAGGCAAACGCCTTGCCATCGGACCAATGGAACGGCACCCGACGGTGTTATTGTCTAACTCAGATTGATCTACGGATTTTTGCGTGACCTCACCCATTTGTCTTTGGTAGTTACTGCCATTATTATAATTATGTTCTTTCATAAGTCAAAGACTACAGGATGACTTACGTATTGTAAACTCTCTTCCTGTGCACAATTAATTGTGAACCGAAATTTTCTAGTCTTTGTGAAAATATTACGAATCAGTAGATAGTCACAAAGTAGTCAGTTACTCGAGCACCAGTTAATACGAGTTAAATTAAACCTACTGATAATAATAAGACAAAATTTTCTATTTAACAAATTCATAACTACCGTAAATTGTGCTCACAAAACAACTAAATCATGATTTCACAAGAAGCTACAATTGAATAATACCATGGATAAGATAAGACAATTCATTACACACTATTGGGTTCCCAATCAGTGGTCTAGAAGTTCTATTCGCAAGTGAAATCGAAGGTTCTGTGTTTGATGGACACACACCGCCAACGAGTCCCATACTAGATAAAAAAAATCTATCCAGTGGTTTCAATAAAATCCAACGATCTTCATAACCCCTATAGTGGAAACTGATTAATCTTTTCTTTTATCTGTTACTCTAAGTAATATAAAACTTTTAGTCAACTGCACTTTTGAATAAGTGAATATTTCAATCCATCAAACAGCTTTTGAAATGTAACCAATACTGTATATTAATTTCCAGTACCGAGAGAAATCGATCGATGTCATCAAAATTAAGTTAAGTTTATGTTAAGCACCATGTACTTTAAATATGGTATTGTCTGTTAATGATAAAAGATGGACATCATCATTGATTTAAGTTATTATGTTCAGTCAAAGTGACTTGTTGTTAGTCAAAAGCAGGAACAAACAAATTCAATTATTTCACATACAGGTAACTTTTTACATTGTAATATATACTGTTTTACTTATTCCCACTTTGTGCTCTTTTGTAGCACTTATTTTAGGGAGAATTGTCACTGGAAATAAATCTCTTAGCAGTATTTTATTGGTTGGTAGGGTAACTAGACTTTCAGGAGAGATTATGCTGGTAAAGATAAATTTGATAGAAGAAAAACTGTATAATTAATTGTAAAATTTTTGAGTTAGTCTGACAATTCAAATAATCATAGATTTTATACTATGTGTTAGATTTTTTTTACAATTGTTGTCTTGATTCTCCAGCCCCCTCCCCCCACTTCTCTTGTTTCTTATGCACTGACTTATAAAACTTATTTTTATTCAGTAAACAGTTTTATCTTTCATTATAGAGTTATGAAGATCGTTATTCCTGATTGAGATCATGTGCTCACTAGTGACTAGCTTCATGAGAAAGTTCTCAGTGTTCTAGTGAGAAACTGCAACCGGGCATAGGCAATAATTAGTGCAGACAGTGGGTAAGGTTGCACAAAATCCTTAGTTCGGTCAAAGTTATAAATTAGGACGGCTCAACGATCTAGAGATTAAGCATTCACGCGCGAAATCGAAGCTTCTTAGTCATGAATGCCCACTGCTGAAGAATTCCATGCTAGAATGAAACGGCCGTCCAGTGCTTCCAGGTTTCTTATGATGGTCTAACGATGATCGACTCATGATTTCAATCAAAAACTTTATCTTTACAATTTCTTAGCGTTTAAAGTAACCTAGATTATGTTGGTGTGTGAAATGATAAAATATTTACGTAAACTAATAGCTTTTATTGTACTTATGATAATAATTACCTTCTTTCAACTCTTATAATGGTTATTTCCTGTTTTATATGTTATCTGAATTTTTCTTTAAACCCAACAAGTTTCGTATTTATTTGGTTTTTAGCTCTTGTTCGACTTTCCATAAATGGTTGTTAACATTAGACATAGTTATCAGCTGTATGTCATTTACTCTGTTGTACGTTGTAATTATTCTTCATTTTATTTTTATAAGGAGGCCCTTATCTTTACAGACTTTTAGATGAGTTGATTGCCTTAGACATCTCATTAAGTAAGGTTTGTATGCAACTTATATTGGTTCATTTACTATTTGAAAAAAAATCGTTGTTTTTGCTTAATTTCGAGTTCATGCGTATCTCAGTCCTGTTGTTAGGCAGTCAACAGATTTAACACTTTGTATGAATTGCATTCTATGATTTCCAGTAATTATATTCATACGATTTTAAACAAACCACAACTTAGTATTTCATTCAGGACATGAATTTCATCACATTTGAGACCATGTTTACGTCGGGACTCGAACTCATTGCCTTTCTCGCTAAATTCTGATGACTTATCCTCTAAGCTACTAAGTATAGATACCTAGTTGCTTGTAAAACGGGTATAAAATTTACTGTGGTATTTTTCTGCTGATGATAGCTGAAGTAAGACGTACTAAGTTCGAGTCTCAGTGCGCAAATCCATGCCAAAATCCGGGTACTTTCTGCCATCAAGTCCCAAATAAGGCGAAATATACCTCCTGGATTTTACTGCTAGTCACTATTCGACTTTAATAAAAAAGCGTTATGGAGCAAAAATATCGGTGTGGTTCTCTCAAGATGAATCAACGCTAAAAGAGACTGCTCAAATTGGATATTTAATACCAGTGATGACGAAATATAAGCCATAAACAAAAAGAACAATGCAACTCAGTAGTCATATACTAGTTAGTGTATTGTGTTTTCGACCAAAGATAACATGTATACAACATTTTTATCCGACCAACAGAAGCAAAATGCACAGAACAAGTTCAAACCTATGAATTAATACATTTAGAATTAATTAATGAAACACATGTTTGGTACTCACACTGCCTTAAAACAATGCTCGGTTATTTTTGCACGATGATCATTAATTTTATTCATAACAATTTCCAGTTACATAGAATTGAGCTTTAGTATGAAACAAAATGAGATATGTACCAATAACGTATTAGAGTTAATTTCTCATTAAGAAACTGCCACGAGTGATATTCTGCAATGAAATATTAGCTACTTGTAAGTAGTATAAATAAATTGCTTAAATGTTATATTTCTCCATAGAGCATGTAACTTGGAGGATCTTCAAGTATTTGAGAACCGTGTTCATTAAGAAAGGAGTTTTTTCACTTTCTTTTCTCAATTTATCAATTTGCTTAACATCCTGTTAAACATGATCATTGGTCATTCTCCATATTCATTTAATCACTTAGCCTCTAAATTGATCATATTTGCTTATAAGTTAATAACTATCATTCTCTTACCATGTTGTTTTGTGCCATATTAATTGTATTTTGATATCATCTTCACCTTATACAGTATTTATACTTAATAATATTACTTTCAAAACACTAACTTATGATAGTTTGTCAGCTTAAATTACACATGATTTATCAGAGTCTTCTGTTAAGCGGACTATAATAAGATCATAGGGGAATTCTTTTTGTTATGAGTAGTATCATTTAAAGGATTTCATTCAAGATTGACCATTCTAATATTAAAATCAAGTTCTTTTTCATTATGTAAATTATACTTATTTATATTTTTATTTTGTATCAAGTTTTCAGGCGATTGAATATGTATCTGGAAGAATATTCGGTTACAGATTATAAGCTGAATTTGCTACCAGTGGAGGTAATATTGATAACTAATGTATTTCAAATATCGGATCTCAGTTATTCGACGTAAATAAATTTTACTCAAACTTACATTCCATTATTGACTTATTCTTGTTACCATTCATGGAACATAAACTGTTGACCATTAATCTCCAACCACCTCTGTCGTAGACACTCTCCTCTAGTTGTGTGTCTGCCTGCGATTCCTGACCCCTCAAGTTATCTACCACATTAGGTTGTTGCTGATCATATCTGACCAAAGGATTTGGAATATCATGAGTAGGTAGCTGTTGACAGATATTTGCACCCTTTTGATGATGATTGTAATAGTTCTTCACGTTTCAGCCCCGTCGTGTTTTATTGTTTTTGTTTGAAATTCTAAGTTTCTTATTGGTTGACAGTTGTTTTAGGCTTATTGTCATGCATAATCCGAATATGTGTTGAAAATCATCGTTATCGTTTAATGTTCCATTGTAGACGGCTTCTTTATTGATCTAACTATAATGAGAATAAACAAACTGGTTATTCATTAAGCTGACAAACTACAAGTATTCAATAATAATATTAGTTTTAGAAAATTAAAATGGTCGATTGAAACCATTAATAATGTTAACGTGTAACAAGTTTGTAAATTTATGACATTGCCTCTTCAAACCATAAAATTCATCAATTAGGTTATTGTTGTAAAGCTGCTACGTATAGCTCTTCAGTCCTAACGGCGTCCAATTCAAATATCCCAATACGACCCAAAATGATATTTCCAAATCTCCTAGATATCAGAACGCAACATCGTGGAATGAAGTTGTTTATTGGGTCGAATACAGAAGAAGAGGTAGGCAGGGGAAACGGAATTATTAAGTCTTTCAGATAGGTCGAATAAGAAAGAGCATCAACGTCTGTGACATTGACAGTTTAGGCCGACCAATAGAAAAGAACATTTGAATGACATTGACAGTCCAGATGACCAATAAAAAGCAACATTGAAGTATTTGACCTTGACGGTTAGAACGATCATAATTTCGGCCAATAGGATTGTACTTCTAAAAATAGTATTCTTAGGATATTTGGTGAATATCCTAACAGTTATATTCATACAATTTACTGTAAAACAATGATTTATTTACATCTATAACTAATTATGTGAGTGAGTCAACAAGTACAAGTGTTAAATTGGTACAGTACTATCATTTGAAAATATTTATTTTGTTACACAGATAGTCAATCGTTCAGTTTTTCGACTATTTACCTGTCTTTGTTTTACTGATGAAAGTAGACTATGCTTTATGGTATAGTATTTCGCTTGTTCATTATTCATATGTAATGAGAAATATTATAGTGATTAAGTAATCAATTTCCACATTGCACAGTTTTATTTTGTGTTAAAATATTGTTTAATTAGCAATTTATCGAATATTTTATAACACTTGTATTCAGCGTAGTTGTGTTGTAATGACCGATTTTTAAAACTGCACACATACACACACACACACACAAGTAAATTGAAATCGCCGCATTATTATGATTATTGGTCAATAGTTTATGTTGTGTCAATATTTACTTGACTAAGTCACCTTGTGCCACCTACTCTATATTGAGTTTAATTATGTTATGTATGTTTGTATAGGTGTATATACATATAGATAGATAGATAGATATATAAATATGACGCATTTGTGTGTAACCACCATTCAAATATAACTCATTGAGAAGTAAGTCTGTTGACTAATTATTGATTTGAATGAATCAACTTTTCTGGTTCAAAATACCTTATGTGTAAACAGACTACTATCTTTCCAACAGTAAAGATTATTTTTTTAGTTTAAAACTCATTTGCCTTGTTATAATCAATGTGAATGTGAGATATTTTGGTAAGTTATCTATTGACATTCACTAGGATTGGAATGATCTATCAAGTAGACACTGTCATCCTAATACTTTTGGATAATTTAGAGGATTTCTGTTTATCGTAAACACTATAAACACTTAAGAGTGCTCATCAGTTATTTTCTTCCTTTAACGCTATCGCATACATCATTGTAGTGACGACTTTTACCAATAGCTCATATTGATTTTCAACTCACACTAGATGAACAAGTGACACAGGAACTCTGTATTCACCGTGAGGATTGATGTTATTTGTCATATCAAAACATTGTAACTATAACTCATGAGATATCCGAATTTGTTACAATCATCTTGGCTGGAACATAAACTCATCCTACCAGTGATTATTTAGTGATGTTTATTTATCATGCTCAGCTACTCTTTCTGAAAAATATTCTAGAATCTCAATAGGAAATTCAACACAATCAAGAGGATACGGATGGAAATTTTGTAATCAAAAGACTAGATTTTCCTGAGATTGTCCTATTTTTATGAAAGATAACATAAAGAATAAAAACCAATAAATCACTAGCCATGAGGAAACTAATTTTGCCCTCAGCATTATTATTTAGAAGAAGTAAGTTCTCTACATGAATGTAAATCGGAAAATGTTACATGTATGCGATAGTGGAATATTGTAAGCTGGTGAGTAATTTAGATTTTCAAAGCACTGGACAGCTACGTAGTCTTCAATAAGACTTCTCAACAGTGAGGATTCAAGACTCTATCACAGGTCTAACCAAGAACTTCCATGTCTGATGACGATTACATTTTGTTTCGGAAACTGACTACCTCCTCCAGACATAACTGAATTGGACTAGTTGCGACTTTTTATTAAAAAACCTAGAATTCTTCACCAGAAGGTGGATGATTATGAGAGTTCAACAATCTATTTCTCAATAGATCATCTCATTCTATGAATTTCATTTTGTTTATCTTAGAATGTGGCCTCAGTCTAGAAGTCGACAGGCACATCTATCATGGTTACCCGCTTTTTCTAAAAACATCCCTCCACCACATGCTGTTGAAGCTGTGCCTGGTATCTACGTTATTCGTGGTCGACATAATGGCGATGTGATACCTGGAAAATGGCGCAAAGATCTTGGTAAAGGCTATATATCACATGGCGGAAGTGAAGTTGAATTAGACAGTTTCGAAGTGTTGTGCAATACAAGTTTAAAGCCAACAGAACATTTGTAAGTTGTTGTCGCCAACTGATAATGTTTTATTGATAAATTTCGATTGTGTGATAAAGTATATTCTATTTATTTAATTTTATTATTCAAGAAAACGTGATATGAAGATAGAGTTAATTCATCATTCCGTGAACAGATCGTAATTTCTCATTTTATGGTAACATTTTAATCTCATCTCAATCATGACATAGTAGTATACTAGAATGTTACGTAAATGTGAAATGCTAATGTGTGTTTGATTTGAATCACTATTAATAATTTCTCCTCTTCTAGTTTCCTCATTTTGTTAAGGATGTAGATTTATGTTGTGTATGAAAAGTAACCCATAAATAACCCATAAATAGACTATTTAAAACATGACTGAATGTGTCACAAATATTACTTCGATATGATCGATGAAATCGTTAATTGATTTGTTTGTGCTGAATAAATTGAGATCTGATTATAAGTTTAAGATCAAAGTCGATCTCATTAATTTTCTGTTTACGAACTATGAAGTTCAGTTTGTGTTTAATAATCAATAATATGATAGATACCGAATGAAATACTACACTAAATCAAATAACGATGATGATGTTGAACCATTGAACACTAAAATTATTTGCATCATTTAAATATCATTCAACATAGTTTATTCGTTTTGGTAGGTTATTCTCATTCTCTCAGTTGCATAGTTTCAATATTACAGATTTCATGATCATTCTGGACATTATTATACATATCATGTATTCTGTTTATGCAATTTGTGACTATCAAATCTGGAAACAGTGATGTGAAAATTGCTAGTAAACTGTTGAACTATTTTTGATCTAACTAAGTAATTAATTAGAAACGACTTAATTTGCCTTTTAAAATAGATCAATAGTGGAAATGTATGTTTTTTTTTGACAAATGAGTCATGGAATTTTAAACTTATGCATACAGCATTCAAAAATGCATGCAAGCATTTTACTCATATTAAATTAACTGTAAGTGCTGCTAATATTAGAATACAGATGACTAGCTTTAGAAATTGTAATCATCTTTCAAAAACATTAGACTGATCACGTTTATTTTTAAAATAGATTCTACAAAAATTGCATTCTCATGTATTCATTGATTATTTACAAATACTCTTCACGATTGAACATGTTACTGAAGTAACATGCATAAACGAACATATTTTGTCGTTGAGTCAACCTATAAACTTATGTGAACTCTATATGTCGATAAGGTTAGACTGGTAAAAAATGTACCAATAAATACGTATTTATTCATTCACCGAGGTCACTAGTTAGTTATTGATGAACAAAAGTAGAGAATTAATAGTTTAATGGAAGTCAATTAAGCTGGTATTTTATTATGAAAAATGAAGTATAACATGAATAATACATTCAATACATCTGTTTGGCATTCGAAATTTCTATGTTATCCATTTGTTGGCCCAGTGGTCCGATGGTAAGGCGTTCGCCTACAATGCCAAAGGTCCCGGGTTCGAATCCTGCGAGGAGCGCTGCTGAGGAGTCCCATACTAGGACGAAACGGCCGTCCAGTGCTTCCAGGTTTCTAATGTTGGTCGAACAATGATTGATTGATGATTTCAAATGTGTAAAAAAATATCACACAAGAATCATCAAATTCATCAACTGTTTAATGAGTAACTGATGGTAATCGAGATTATGTTCTGACATTCTTGTGAGAAGTTTAACCATTCAGAGAGAGAGAGAGAGTGAGACTAATTCATCTCTTTCCATGTAATCCAATTTCAAAATGATCTGTATTGAGTTTTGATAATTTTGCTCAGCAATATAGTATATTGGAGTTGAAATTAGATTATAGTCTTCATTCGTATAACATCGTGTTTTATATAATCAACATGAAATTGAAGTTAATGTAAATCATAAGTTTTGATTACTCTATATAGCACTTTATAAGGTCTTTGTTCGACTGGCGTTGATTATCCCCACCTGTTAACACAAATCTGTCACCAAATTGATATAACGAAATTATCGAATGCTTTTTAATTCATTGTGTATTCGATACACCGATTAAATGGATGATCGAGTTTATGCTGCTACCACTGAATTGGATAAACGAACAGTACACTATACGGAGAGTAGATCACATTAAACCAGATTACACGATTTTACAACCAAAATAGGGAACCAGAGTAAGCGATATAGTTTATATAGTTTATTTCACATAATTAGAAGCAGTCACACACAGTGGATAGGCTAACAGCTTGTTTGTCCACACTCAACAACCAATCACATTGTCATTTGATTGTCATTCATCACAAAAATCTCTTAGTTTTTTATGAAATATTTCTGTTTATTTTGTCTACTATAACTTGTTTATGGGTAACAGGCTTCTCCATGTAGAGTTGTATAAGTAGTGAACTGTTAAAATGCAATAATTGAGGTTTTAAATATTCAAATAATTTATTCATTGTATTAGTGAGCTAATAATTCATAAACGCATTGATAATTACTTCATTCTGATGTAATTTCTGAAGGATATTTTACTTTGTACCACTCAAATATTAGTTAATCTTACTTTGTGTAGATCAGTTTTCTGCTTTCGAAACTGACTACAGACGAATAGGTTGTGTTGTAAACTACAGTTCGATTTATTTTTATAGGATGTCATAGATATTTGTAGTACTGAATAACGACAGTCGTGTGTATTGATAACCATACAGACATGTCGTCAGCAAACAAGGCCAGAAATAACTTTTTGATACAGACATGAATACAATATTTCTTTAATATCGGAAATCATTTGAAATTGGTTATATGTGAGTCTGATTACAATCAAACTGTATACGGAAAATAATTTTGTTTCCAAAGTTCTCACTTGGAATCCAACATTATGCTTTTCAAAATACGCAACACAATTTACACTCTTACTCTATTAAAAACGAAAACATTACATTGAACACTCTATTTGCACACCATCTTTGAGTCCTGACTTCCAACGCTCCAGCCTTCTTCCATTCCTGTTGTTGCTTCCTTTACTTCCTGTCGGTACTCCATTTACTTCTTGCTTTTGCTCCATTTGCTTTCCGTTTTCCTCTTCTGACCGTGAGAGTTCTTCTTTCACGTCCCTTCTTATACTACTTATATCGTTCGTATAAGTAGCACACACCACAATACTACTTGTTTTTCTTCACTATTCTTCATTTAGATATAATTGGGTTTCATCTACTGGAGGTCATGTACCAGATAAAGCATTACAAGCTGGTGAAACAAGTTCATCGGAACCTTTGTATATTGCTCGTCGTTTAGTGAATAATGAAATGTGTATTGGTAAACTTCATCCGTCACATGGTTGTGCATATTTTCCATGGGGTGGTGAAGAACACTCGCACACAAGTTATGAAGTATTGTGTTTCCTAGATTGATGATTTGAATAGATGAATTATTATGAAAAAAAAATATGCTTTTGTGATTTGGGTAAACTTGAAAATGTTTTTTAAAAAGATAGAAATTGATCATGGATGTTCCCTTCAAACTATTTATTGATTTGTATGTTACACGTTTTGTATTACAATAAACAATTCAATTACATGAGTTGTTTTTTTTTAATTTGTTATCTTTCTGGTCAGTTTGAGATTTACTTCATGAGTAATAACCTGCTCGAAATATCCTTCCACTGATACATATTGTGTTTTTGTTTTGTTGTTATTGTCGTTGTTAACTGATTGTCTTCTTCATGGAACTCCGCCAAGGCTACTGCCGGTCCCGAGCCCGGATAAAGGAGCAGGGTTAAGCTGGGGGCCTGGCGACCCCACTTTCTGAAAAAACACTAACAAGAAAAATCATTCGAACCATTTAAACTCTGCTCTGGGAGTTAGAAGGTCTTCATTTAGAAGAGTTATATCGTCTCATGATGAAAGCTGAGTTCCTTCGGAGGTCACCGGGCTGATGCCTCTTCTGACAACTAGAACTCTTCCGCATTGTGGGCAGCCGGGAAGTAACATCCGCCCCCATACCCATAAAAGTGCACGAGACCAAATTGGTCACAAAAAATCCCTCCTAAACCTCCTAAAATCTCTCTTATCTCCACAACCAAACCTTCGTTTGTTCCTTTGTCAACTCACGCCGCTGTTGCATACTTTTCGAGTCCACGAAATGTTATTCCTGGTTTCCTGAAATCACGAGGAGGTAAACAATGAGCTTTACGAAAACTTCTCCAACCGTTTGTAAAAAGTTAAGCGCTCTGATATAGTAATAATGGCTGGTGACTTAACGCTCAAGTAGGTAGACTCAACTAAAAGGTAAGACACCAGAGTGGATCTTATGATATCATGGGTCAAAGATCAGATAATGGCCACTTTCTGCTGCAACTGTGCTCAGATAATCACCTGTTTCTAGCAAACACTAAATTTAAGCACAAAGCAAAACATCTCTTGATCTGATGACCCCATAGCCGACCCAACAACGGACCCAACTAGACCACATTGCTACCAGCCATCGGTGGAGAGGCTCTATTGAAGACTGCCGCTCATTCTGGAGCACTTGTTTACATTCAGACCATGCTGTAGTGAGAGCGCGTATTGCTGGACGTAGGGAAGATGTCGCAATGACTGTCTACGCAATGCTCGCGAACAGCGGTGAGTATAGAAAGAGAGAGAGATGGAAAAGACAGCAGTGATAGGTAACAGTACATAACTCTTCAGACTTATCAAGGAAACCGGTATTAGGATTCCGATTGTAAGTGAGACTATCTCAAAAAAGGATGGTCAGATGATTCATTCTCAATCCAGGAGATAAGGTCGATGGGCACAGCACTTCATGGATCAGTTCAACTGGCCTTCCTCCACACTTCAGTTGCCCACCATCTCCAGTCAATCTGAATGGCAGTCTTTACGAAGTTGAGAAAGCTCTAGAGAATCTAAAGCATGGGAGAGAAGCGGGTCCTGATAGACTAACTCCTGAGATTTTCAAAGATGATGGTCCAGTTTTTGGTAGTAAGACTTACTGAGATGTTGGTAGAATCTGGGAACTGGGCATAATTCCACCCGACTGGTCTCAATCACTGATTGTCCCAGTCTATAAGAAAGGGAAAAAGTCCTCTTGTGACAATCACAGAGGAGTCAGTCCAACTAATATAGTATCTGAAATACTGGCCTCAATAATACTCCGACGCCTAACTAGAGCTCGTAAAGAGCAGACTAGAGAAAGCCAGGCTGGTTTTCGACCTTGGAGTGGCTGTATATACCATATATTCACACTTCGACAAGTTGTAGAACACAAACGCACATATCAGCATCCATAAATAGTTGTTTTCCTTTGTCTCTGTCAATCTTAAGATTGTATGGCAGTGTCTGTCTTTTAAAGGTGTACCAGAGAAGTAAATTAACCTTATACAGACTCTCTACTCGAACACTACTGGTCAAGTGAGAGCTTATGGCAAACTGTTATCGGATCTACTTACTTCAAGTGATGTCCATCAGGGCTGTCCACTTTCTCAATGACCTGCTTTTAAGTACGACACTCTCATCATTTGACCTTTCAGGAATTGAACTTCCACCGGGAGATTCGTTTGTGGACTTAGAATACACCGATGACATAGCCCTATTTATTGAAGACGCTGAAAAAATGCAGTCTTCTGACTAGCCTAAGCAACAATGCAAGCATGTTCGGGATGCGACTCTCTCCGTTGAAATGCAAAATATTGCTTCAGGATTAGCTTGTATCGGCACCTGAACAAGTGATAGGAAGTGAATTACTTGAGCGTGTCGACCGCTTCACTTATCTTGGGAGTCTCATCAGTGCATATTGCCTGGTGACTGACGAAATCTCAGCACGGATACACAAAGCTCGATTGACTTTTGCCAACCTGTGTCACTTGCGGCTTAGACAAGATATCCATTTGGTACTGGGCAGAAGTTCGCTCCATCCCACTTTATGGCTGAAAAACATGGCTGGCAAGAATAAAAGATATTCACAGGTCAATGGTTTTCGACCATAGGTGTCTTTGAAGCATTACCCATGTATCCTGGGACAATCGAGTAAGTAATGATGTTGTCAGGAAGCGGGTACCAAGTAAGGACGGCAGATCAGTACATGAAGTGTCGAAACTTCATCTGTTGAGTAGTTGTGACATGTGTTACGAATTCCCAACCACTGGTTACGCCGACGAGCTATTTTTTTTGGTGTAGGAGTAGGTTGGATGAAAGTTAGGGGCAGCCAAACCAAAACATGGCACAAATGCATGAAGTCACTGACTAGTAGACTGAGTCGTGTTGGTAAATGTAGACCACCTAGTTCGGGTCCGCGAGAAGATATTAACTGATGGTTAGAGAACTTGAACGACATGGCTCAAAATCGTTTACAATGATGCAGGTGCATCCATTCGTTGTGTTCTGCAAATTCTAATCTTCTGACAATTTTTTCTCTTCTTTTTTTAACTGATTCCTCTGGTGTAAACTTCTTGAATGATATGTTTGATCATCGATCTTTTTGACTACTGCTAATACTTCTACTACGTCTGCTACTATGGGAATTGAATTTACGGCTGCATCTCTGTGCTAATGTGGGATGGCAATATGAACTGATGTACTTACGTACAAAATACTCCATTGCAACTGACTGACTGGTTTCTTAATCGATTTTAGTCAATTCTCATTTTTAGACAAAATTAACTCATAAAGAAACTTCAGTAACTGTCAGTTAATAAGATTTTTCGACGTTAGATTATTATCAAGATGGAAATGTATGCCGATGGAAATTAACCCTCCGGAAAATGAACCTTGATGAATTTTCGATTTGTACCATTGAAGCGTTTCTTAATAGCAATAAAAATTCACTTAATCCTTTCTGCTCTGCAAATATGACTAAGTCATGACGAATACTATTAACAAATAAAATCTAAGATTTCTGAGTAAACATAAGTTGTTAGTATTTACAACTAAAAGATAGTGTTAAAGTATATTGATCCATCAATGGAACAACACAACGTATTCGTATTTATTATCGTTTCAGCAAGGCTATCGAAGACAAATGAACTTGAACGATATTTCCAATGATATTGCGATATTTTCACACGTGTTTAGTCAACCAGAAGGCAGGTCAAGCGAGTAAACAAAATATTACAGAAAATAAGTGATATTGAAATAAATAAAGACATTAAGAATAATTTATAATTTTTTGGGAATACTAAAGTTAGTGAAGGTTGAGATCAGTAGTACATGTGTTTGTCCATGTGCATAAAACGCATTATTGTCCTAGGGTAGCCTCCGTTGACGATGATAGCTATCCAGTTGTGGTCACATATTGTCCAAATATTATTAGTATGGACTAAACTTTTATAGTCTGCTGTTCCTCACCAAAATCACATGAAATAAATTTGAGAAGCGACTCACCTTCCTGTGATGATCTTCTTTACAGATTTTCATCGAAGCAAACGGATTGGATAATCAACAAACTTCTTCGAACTACGCATCACAAAATAATTATATTTTCTAATATATATACCACATTATTTCTATCTATCTGATAGAAAAAGGGTCATGAAAATAAAACACCACTTCCTTAAAAATTGAACAACAAAACTAATAATCATCAACATTGAATATATGAGAATTATCTCAAATCACGTGCATCTTTTCAGACACTTTCTACAAACCGTTGGATTACAGTCTAGATGCAATCATATGGTTTGGATATACAGTAATTAGTTAGTTAAATAGACGGAAAATATAAGAACAGGACGCATACACATTGAATGGTAATAAGAAATTTAAACAAATCAACAATCATGGTAGACATTCACACTTATATCAAGATTGAAGTCTCATTGATTGGTAGTTAGGTAAATACAGGATACATTAAGCCCAGATTGAGTTAGAGAAGTCGGCTCCAAAACAAAAATGTTTTTGGTCACTATAGTTATGCACATAACAATTGTTTATATTGAGGAAAGTAAACACTTCGATCATATTCAAATCACTTGACTAAACGGTTTAAACATCGTTTTTAACAGAAATCGATTTCATTGTGGAAAACAATGAAAATGATGAATGAGTCTTACAAGAGATATAAATGGAAGTGAAGCTCTAGATTCTTATTAGTAATGATAATCTAATAGTCATAAAGGATCAAAACGTACAAACATTGATCAACATTCTTCTCATTAAAATAGTCTACTAACAAGTAATATGTAATTATACTACAAATTTACACAAGTCATTTGATACGCGAATAATAATACTGAAAACCTACGAGTATTAAAGAGCAGAAATATGAGGGGAAAACAAAGGTTCAAGTGATATTTCCCGACATTGTCAAACTTCATATCAACTACACATGCAGATATCTCTAGCATTTGAGAAACTCTACTCGATTGAGAAATCGGACTGACTGCACTAGAACATCTGTTTAGTAAACCATAATATTAGCAACTCGTAATCAATAATCCAAAGTTCGGCACTGTGTGGGTGCAAACAATATGAAAGTGTGGTCAGTCCTTCATCACTTTGTATCTCATTCCCACACTCACACTGGCATTAATTCCCCCCCACATACACACATAACCATGGTCAGTTAGTTGGCTTACTTGCGAAAGCCTCTTGTGATCTGTTCGATGAGAATTGCACTATTCAAATAATGCTGGTTTCCACTGTGTTGTGTTACTCACAAGAAACACTGATATTGTGTGTGGTAATCTTCTACCATTTCATTCCTAATCCGACAGTCGAATCATTCAACAGATGTGTGATTGATTGGACAGACAACGTAAAACAAACTGCCCTATGTCATGTTCATTAACTATAACAATGTATTACACCACTTTACTCTATTCGTCGGCTACTGGAGGAGACATGTGTGATGAGTAGAAGATGAAATCACTCACACCGTTGTACTCGATGAGAGTATAGACAAATAATGTGTTGATCAGTGATTACGTTAATTGCGACCATGGTTGTATTGAACAGTGATTAAAATAATTGGTAATGGTTACTTGCAGAACGCACACCGAATAGTTCATTCGACATGAAATGAGAAATGGTAGAGCAATTCGTTACTATGTGTACTGAAGATGTCATGGATATTCATGTCTGGAGATCACTTTTGTTCGTAACACCTTCCCAATCGAATAAGTGGAGTTCCAAAGCATATTGGAAGGTTAGTTGTGACGTAGAAAATTGAGTGATCTAAAGGGATGCGTGTGACGGTGCATCGAATGAAGAAATGGTGAGGATGTGTGACCGATTGTCCTTAACTAAGTTGTGTCTACTAAAACTAATGATATCAGCATCACTGTAATTTGAACCCAGCTCACCATGATGGTTTGGGGAATCAATGTCAATGTGAGTGTGCGGCTGAGTCACGGAAGGGTGAAGGATTGACAACACTTCCATATTGTTTGCACTCACATATTAACGAACATTGGATTATAGGACACTGGTTGCTAGACGTATGGTGAACCGACCTGATGTTCTAGTGCATTCAGTCCGATTTCTCAATCGAGTTGACTTTTTCAAATGGTGGAGATGCCTATTAGAGAATGAGAGAATGAGTGAGTAAGCGAGTGAGTCAACGTGCACAGTTAAATGAGGTCTGACGATGGTAGGTGATGAATCTGGGTGACCAGTTCCATTTGACAAGGAACTATCGTGGTGGATGCGTGGACAATATTTATCAATAGGAATCAAACTACCGTACGTTTTCTTTCATATTTAATCAGATGACTGGAAGAGATAGACGTGATTTGAAACTGTACAATGTTCACAATTGACTCCGGTCATTACATAAATTTCATTTGACATTCGGTGGCATTTTGGCTATTTAATGTCTGTCACGTTACAAACTACGGTACTTCAATCAATGTACACAAATGTGAGAACGATGTAGAAACAGCTAAAACATTTTGTATCTCTGGGTATATAATATCTGTGATTATTTCTTGTCTACAACATTATTGATTTATCAAATTCATGTTTAACTTTAGTTAATTACTAAAATAAATCACATGGTGAAAATATAGAGCCAGACAAGGTCACATACTTGGCACACATTTATCAGACTACAATAATCGAAATTGTTATATTGAATAAATCGATCTATGAATTATTAAAAGAATCGATAATTTACAACACAGAAAACGGATTTTCCTGTTAGTTTGTTAATCAGTTAATTAGTCATTGAATCAGTCACTCAGTTATGTGCAACGTAGAACCTACCACAATCATGCATCGATCAGCAATCGAGATCAGTCAGGTGAAACTATATTCGGTCCCATTGTTCCAGTCCAGTAAATATCTTGTTCATTCCTAACCCTCTAACCTAGACCAGCACCTTTCGGGATTTCTACAGTTAATCCATCAGGGTGTGCGTCTCTCTGTCTCTTTCCATTCAAATAAGCTAACACACTTTCAACATGAGCAAGAGTAGAGAGGTGTTGTTCCTATATCTCATTCCGGTCATCAGGAGAACGTTTCTCACTACGGGTTTGTTAGAGGCAAGTGATTTAGAGCTTCGTTGAGATTGCTATGTCATTGTTGAGATCTAAGAGACTGAAGAACACTGTTTGCTACTTGATCACCGGTTCGTAAATTGACTCTAATCCAAAACATGCACATCTGATGTCTGACGAATGCATCATTGACGTGTTGCTACGTGATGTGCACATTTTATTCAGAAATAATGTGAGTTTGCGTAATGTAACATTTAGGAATAATAATGAACAAATTCAACATCACTTCTTCGATCGTGGAATCAAATAAACTGATAATCCTTGTCTAGAAACGCTTGATCATCACATCCTAACCGTTTCTAAATTCTACACAATTCGCTTACATTCACATCCAAAACATAAGAGTTCACGTCATGACCATGCAAATAAGCTAAACTGACAAGGTTAATTGAGTACACAAAGCTGGAATATCACTCATCTGAAGCAAATATTATCACTTCAAAAGTGATACACATCACATTCATTTTTGTAATCCTCAAGCAGCTTCACAGATAAACTAAACACATCATAACCACAATGCAAAAAACAGTAGCAGGAAAGTAGACTAGTTTGATGTCTCGCCATCATCATCATCACAATGTGATTGGTTAATCAACACTAGGTCACATCGTCAACGTGTTTGTGATGACAGAATGTGTCTGAGATGTAGCGTACATATCAGCTCGTTGATTGGTTGTTCACTGTGTCCAATGCAATTGTTTATGCTTGAAGAATAAAAAGGTCAAATTGATTTGTAGCATCGAGTCATCCGACTTGTGAGGAGATACTTGGTTGTTCGGTGTTTCATTTCTAAGTTATGTCTGTTCATGTACGTTATCCACACTTTGCTGTTTATGTTTATTGTCAGGTTAATTTGTGACTGAATGTGTAATTGACATGTTTAGATACTAGTTTTATTGTTTTGTGAAAAGTGGGTTGTTTTGTTTATTTCACAGTATGATATCGTCTGGATTTACACTGATGTGTCCTGAATATTGGTAGTTGTGATTGATTCTTGATTCGATTCAGCACACAACTACCATTGTGTATTTTGTGATTATGTAAACCTACCGTGCACGTAATGAGAATGGGAAATGTGGATTGACTAGTTTGAAATAATTCCATGTGATTTGCCTTTCTCAATGTTTTGTTGATGTTGACTAGGTTACCACAGGAATAGAATCGTTGTGATGATCAGTTATCTTATTCACAATCTTAAATTCAGGTTTCTGAAACTCGTTTCGAATGCAGAAATCTTGATAGAGTCAAAATTGTTATGTGTGCTTCCGTATAAATAATGTGCAGTTGCTAACTCACTTTTTTTTACATGCTTTTGACACAAGTATCTCATTAGGCTTGTCTATTGTATGTCAAACTGTATCGGTCCGTACATATAGTCAGATAGTGTAGAATAGACAGGCTGATTATTCTCAAAACCTCAGACTCCTTGTCACAACAGAAATCAATTATCAAACTCCTTAAGAGTTTGAACAATGACATACCGAATACACTTGTAGGAATTATTCTTTTCTTCTGTCTGATGATAATTTAGCTGAATTAACGCAGGTTGACTTTTTAAACCAAAAATTCATCCTCTGCCATTTGGTGTTATAAAAATTAAATTGTACTTAAATTGGAGTCTAGTAGTATGATATTAAAAAGATCACAAACAGGGCGTTTACATCGTAATCACTTACTGTTCATTTAAATTGTTAATACGTACTACATATGTATGTATATTATTTGATATTTGTAATGATTACATAAACACTGACATGCATTTTGCCAATAAAGTGGAGTATCGGTTGGAATTCATGACAATTTAAGCTTTTCAGTCTATTGGGGTTTCTTATCCGTTTGTCATATGTTTTTCTTTATGTTTATTGCTATTTTTTCTGTTGTGACGTCCAGTGTCAGAGAGTTCATATTGATACTCAATCTTCCTATACACTGGCCCTACAGGCTACTACTAGTGTAGTGAAGGAGAACACAGGTGAGGGCAACCAAATTGTATTTCTCGATAATTACAGAGTTACTCAGTAAAATAGGAAAACCATATCGTAAACTATTAATTTGCAAATCTTCAATCCATCATCAATCCATTGTCTGACATTTCACTATTTATGCGTTTCATACAAATTCCATTGTGTTCCCACTATTCTTCCTTTCTTGATCTTCCCCCATCTTCTGCTGCCAGACATTACGTTGACACTCACGTCATATACTACTTATAAGTAGCGCGCACCACACTAGAATGAAACAAATGAGAGCAAGCAAGCAGGTTCTTTCACTAAAGAAATTTGGCACTCTTGTATATGCATCCAAATATATGTCGTCTGGAAACGAAAACCATTTCTTAGTCAATCACGAACTCTTATCATCATTCAATTGATTTCTGATTAGCCAGAAATGTATTATTTTATGATATTGTATTCAGAAACGTAACAAAGTTCTCCGATAAGAAGGTACAGTCCTAGTGCTGGCTATACAATGGTTTCAAATGAACTACTACAAGATATTTTAATTTCTTTATTGTGTGATTTGATAACCTTCATCTAAGATACGAAATATTGTAAGATTGTGGTTGAAGGTAGATTTAAGCTTCGTGATATTTAGCTTGTTAACTTTACTAAATGGTTTCTGCCATAATCGGTTGAAATCTCCCTGATATGGTTGAAATATCACCGTTGAGAGAAAGAAAACTGACTAGGATTTAATGGGTTTTTTTTCTGAAGAAATTTTCAAATTCTACAGGAAAACTCAACTAAAATAATCTACTACTGACAGTGAATGTACAAAATGAATTAAATACTTTATGAAGAACTAATCCATAGCTGTGTTCACTTTAACAAAACTTCTATTCAGCTTATATTGCAATACCTCATAAAAAAGAAAAATACCTCCTCAAAAGAGATCCTACGTTTGTTTTGTAGACTATTTATGTAAATTGCAATAGCTTAAAACATGTATTCAGTTTTCCGTTCAAACCATTTCTAAATCTGTCATTTCCATTAAGATCAATCATTGAGAAATTTCTTAAAATCTTGATTGACTATTATTATGTTCAAACTTTTCTTGTTAGATTCTTCTTGCTTTTTATACAATATCGATATCGTGACGCACTTGGGTGCTTTTCACAGTGTGTCCTATCCACTTCTACCGCTTCTTCTTGATTTCCTCCTCCACTGGAATCTGGTTTGTTCTCTCCCACATTAGGTTGTTGCTGATGTAGGATTTAATTTGTCCTACAGATGTAATTCTACAACGGTAAACGCAATATTGGCGAGCATAGAGTCTATGGGAAAGCTACAGTCAGAACAAGATCAACTTTTGCTTTAAACTTTATCTGTTTCGACCAATATAGCGTGTCTTATGGAAAATGAGTAAAGTTATGAGTCATATCAATATAATAAGATAATAATGTCAATCAATTTGTAGGTCATTTACAATAAAAAAGTTTACAGACACGTCAGGTTAGATCACGTGATGGGCGCTTAAACCACAGTTTGATTGGTTAGTTATGGCATAAATACAATTAGTTATAAAAAAAAACAAACAGCTGATGGTGTCTGACCAACGAACCCGAAATATTTTGCGTAGACAATGGTTAATGAATACTTGTATCTTCTGGATGATGGCTTTCGTATTTCTCCAAGTTTCTGCCTCATACGGTAGAACTGTCTTGACATTTGCATTGAAAATCCTGATTTTGGCGTTGATTGATATTTGTTTGGAGTTCCAGATATTTTTCAATTGTAGAAATGCAACCCTTGCTTTGCTGATCCGCGCCCTCACATCTGCGTCGGATCCACCTTGATTGTCGATGATGCTGCCCAGATATGTAAGATGTTAACGTCATCCAAGGCATCTCCATCAAGAGTGATGTGCATGTAGTGTTGTATCTCAGAATCTTCCTTTTCCTTTTATGTATGCTGGCACCTGCTGCTGCTGAGGCTACTGCTACACTGGTCGACTTATCTTGCATTTGTTGTTGTGTGTGCCATAGAAGAGCCAGATCATCTGCAAAGTCTAAATCGTTCATTTGCATCCTAGCTGGCCACTGCATCCCGTGCTTCCCTCCAGATGCCGACGTCTTCATAATCCAGTCGATCACCATGAGAAAGAGAAAGGGTGAGAGTAAGTAACCTTACCTGACACCGGTCTTCACCTCTAATGAGTCTGTCAGCTGTCTTCCGTGCACAAATTGCAGTTGAATCCATCATAAGAATTCCTTATGATGTTGACTATCTATCGGCACGCCGAAGTGTAAAAGAAGCCTCCACAGTGTTTTCCTATCCACGCTATCGAATGCCTTCTCGTAGTCGATGAAGTTGATGTAGAGTGGTGAGTTCCATTCAATTGATTGTTCCACAATGATCCGTAATGTAGCAATTTGGTCAGTACACGATCGATCCTTACGAAATCCAGCCTGTTGGTCTAGAAGTTGGGCGTTTACGAAGTCGTTCATTCTGAATAAAATACCTTGTTGAAGACTTTGCCATGTATTGAGAGAAGAGTGATGTCTCTGTAGTTCTCACACTTGCTGAGATCACCTTTCTTTGGTATTTCGATGATGGTACTTCTTGTGACCCAGAAGTTCGTGACATGTTGAAGTGATTGCCTCCTTGATACCTTTCCAATTGTTCTCCAATGTTGCTTCCTCTCAATTGAGTAGACCCTGAAAGACCTGGAACCTATTGGTGGGGGCTATCTTGAATTCGTTGAGTTTTACGGTATGCCGTAGAAAGGCTGTATTAAACTTGTGTGATGTTGTTCGCCCCGTTGTCCAGTGCTTCTTTAGTTTCAGTTTCATTTTGGCCACCAGCAAGTGGTGATCTGAGGCTATGTCAGCTCCTCTCTTGGTTCTCACATCCTCCATGGTCCTTCCGAACTTTTTGTTGATACAGATATGGTCGATTTGGTTCTGAGTATTGTGATCCGGTGAAATCCATGTAGCTTTGTATATGCGTTTGTGTGGGAAAATGGTGCCGTCGATGACCAGTTTGTTGAAGGCTCATAGGTTTGCAAATCTCTCAACATTTTCGTTCCTTTCTCCTAGTCCATGTCGTCCTATGATGTCTTCATATCCAGTGTTGTCCATGACAACCTTGGCATTTAGGTCTCCCATCAGAATGGTCAAATCCTTCGATGAGCATTTGTCGACGATTGACTGCAGCCTTTCGTAGAATTGATCCTTATCGTCGTCACTGTAGTCGTTGGGATGTGCAAAGCCTCAAATGACGTTCATTGTAATGTCCTCATTCTTTGTATTGAAGGCTGCTTTAATGATCCTGTGTCCACGAGATTCCCATCCTATCTTTTCTTTGTGCTTGCTTGGACAGCATCAGTGCAACTGCTTGTATATGCGAAGCATTTTGCTCTTCATGACCAGAGTATAACAGCAGTCCTTCTGAATCTAGTCTCATTTGTCCTACCTGTGTCCAATGCGTTTCACTGATGCCGAGCACCTCGAGGTTGTATCTTTTCATTTCTGCTGCAACTTGAAACAGTTTTCCATTTTTCCACAATGTTCGAACGTTCCATGTACGCAAGAGGATGGTTGCTGTGATTGTGAGAAGGGGCATCGGCCTCGTGACTTCCGAGGGAACTCGGCTTTTCTCATGAGACATCATAATTCTTCTTTTAACTACCAGGGAAGAGTGAAAAATGATTTGAATTATTAGTTCTGGTTAGCTTCTGTTTGGCAAGTTAGTTTTTAGTTGGGATGGGGTCGCCAACCGCATGCGCAATCCTTCCTCCTTTATCCGTGCTTGGGATCGGCAGTAGCCCCGAAGTGTCTACAGGCAGAGTTATGTAAATATATATATATATATATATATATATATATATATATATATATATAAGTTCAGATCCTTTATTTTTGTTTGAATCACAAGTATTTGTAACAATTTTATAATCATATAACATTGTATTTATGCTATGGAGTTGTTTTCCTCATTTAATTTAAGATGAGTACTCCATATTATGTTCAACAATCTCATTTATCTTGGATACCGGGTACTGCAGGAGACGATCAACCATCGAATGGAGTTGAAGCAGATCCTCGTATTTATGTGGTTCGAGGTGAAATAGATGGAAATATAATACCAGGAAAAATGCCTCTTAGAATAGGTGCAGCTTTTATACCAAATGATGGAAAAGAATATGGACTTCGTAATTTTGAAATTTTGTGCAATACAAACATATTTCCAAATCAATCATTGTAAGTGAACGAAAAGTAACTCAATTATTGTTGATGAATAAGTTTTTAATGATAGGATTTAATTAATGAGTCAGATAATCTATTCATTATAAACTCAGATCATAGATTCAAATAACCTTTACTTGTCCAAAACTCGTAAAAAATTTCAATAGGTATGGAAAATGTAAAGTTTCACTTTGAAACTACACACTGAATATGACATCAATAGAAAATGATGTAAATATGTCCTGTAAGATGGTGATTATTTTACATTTATTCTGAATATTGATGAGTCGATTACCAAAACCTATACATTTATACTACTTTAATAACATTCAGTGAAGTATTAAATTGTTAAAGATATTAACCATATTTGATGAAATCTGATTGTCTATTAGGCACTTGGCTTCCTGACCTTATTATTCTTCTGCTCAACATGTTTTAATGATAAAACTTAAGAAAATATGTCATGACTAAGATTTTTGTGAGCATTTATTTTTTATCATGATGCTTGGTAGTTTGAGTAATTAATCACTTCATGTACTAAACAATGAGGAATGAAAAAGTTACATTAAAAATTCAATGTGAATAGTCAATGAGGAGGGGAGTTGTTCATTCCTATGAGGATTTGAGATTTCTTTTTAGCTATTCACATTATTTTGAATTTTTTTTCACTGATGGATGGTGGATAAACTAAACTCTGATTTGTTGGATTCGGTTTATGTTAGTCTGTGGTGGCCGATTTCGACGTGTTCTTAATCTTCGTGATTAGCTCGTCTAGACAATCGTTTCTAACTAGCGACTGACGGTTTATAAATCAGAAGGTGAACACAAAGTGTTGAATACGTTTATTTTTGACACAGCACAAATAGAATAGCAGACTACAAGCGCTATAAGATAAAATCGTCATGCGAGCGCCAGAAAGCAGGTAAGTGAGTGAATAGGCGAATGAACGGATGAAGTGATGTGGAGAAGGCTAGTGAGCCAATTCTAAGAGATTAGGAATTTATAGTCAGACAAAAGTAAGACAGACATGTAGTAAGCGAGTAGGCATGCACAAACATGAATACAAGCGACGAATAAGTGACAAGGTAAAAAGACAAATGGGACAAGTCATGTGAGCTAGACATTGAATGACTCACTACAAGTCAAACGATTGTTTACTTAACGCAGTTGACCTGATTGTAGGACTGAGGTATCTATAAAAGTCAACTGTATTCAATCGAATATACTGTGTCATCAATAATTTGTGTTCTCTGCATTTTCTAACACTCAGTGAGTTTGAGTTCTGTCTTATATGCTTATTGTATTATTCAGTAAGTCAATTCCAACATTGAACTTGGTACATCTGGACATTAGTTCAAGTTGCCATAGGATGAAACTGTTAGGCTAAATCTCACAGTATAAGTGAAGGGATTCAAAATACAAATTAGAGAAATGAAAAAAATAATTAAGAATTCTGAAACTTAAATTCTGGAGGAAGGCCGAGAGTGGATACACATATGCCATCGCAAATGACTTCGAGTCATGTCATTCAAAGATCCCAGTGAATCTAACTGCTAGAATTAGACCATCACCCTCGTTAATAGTTGATGCACTTATATCGATTCGTGATTCCGTGTGCTTGGCCATAATGTGTAGCTGAAGGTCAGTTGGACTGCTGCCAAAGCATTTTGCCCACCGGTCCAATCTCCTGGATTGAGAGAAAATAATAATCTTATCGTTTTTTGAGACTGCTTCACTAAAAACTGGATTCCGTATACCAGCTTCCTTGACAGGTCTAAACAGTTGTCTACTGTCGCAAATCGCTGCTCCCACTTCCATCTCTTTTGCTTTGTTACCCACAACTACTCACTATCATTGCGTAGGATTTTTCAGCCCACATTTCAGCTGCCTCATCAAGTTCGGAGTCAGACGGTGTGAGTTTCTCAGCATCTATTAGCTCAGTAGATGTCATTTCAAACTGCTTCGGGATGAATACCACTTAAATGGTTGACCAACCACTTCTCCAGTTGTTTATGAGTTATGTTTTTGACTTGTTCATCGTTAAGTTGAACTTCAAGGGGTTTCATCCTGTGACTTTTTTGCATTCATTAAGACGCAGACAAACGTGGGCTCATATGAAATTATTGTCTCAGTCTACGTATGCACTTAGAACTGAGAAACAGTCTCCTGCCGAACTTCTTCAACGATAGCTGACGGTAATATGGTTTATTTGAGTCTATCATTGGATCGATTGTGGAGGTCGCCATATCACACGATGATTATCTTTATGTTTGAAGATGGTGCTTACTAGAAATAAACAGTTATTTGAGCATAATTGCAACAAATAGTGGCATTATCTGTTTGTTGAAGGCACATAGGTTTGCAAATCTCTCACCGTTTTCGTTCCTTTCTCCTAGTCCATGTCGTCCCATGATGTCTTCATATCCAGTGTTGTCCATGACAACCTTGGCATTTAGGTCTCCCATCAGAATGGTCAAATGCTTTGATGAGCATCTGTCGATAATGACTGCAGCCTTTCGTAGAATTGATCTTTAACGTCGTCGTTTTAGTCATTGGTAGGTGCAAAGCATTGGATGGCGTTCATTGTAATGTCCTCATTCTTTGTTTTGAAGGCTGCTTTAATGATCCTGTGTCGATGAGATTCACGTCCTATCATTGCCTTTTGTGCTTGTTTGGATAGCATCATTGCAACTCCTTGTGTATGTGAAGCATTTTGCTCTTCATGACCAGAGTATAACAGCAGTCCTTCTGAATCTAGTCTCAGTTGTCCTACCTGTGTCCAATGCGTTTCACTGATGCTGAGCACCTCGAGGTTGTATGTTTTCATTTCTGCAACAACTTGAAACAGTTTTCCATTTTTCCACAATGTTCGAACGTTTCATGTACGCAAGAGGATGGTTACTGTGATTGTCATTAGGGGCGTCAGCCTCGTGACTTCGGAGGGAACTTGGCTTTTTCATGAGACATTAAAATTCTTCTTTTAACTACCAGGGCAGAGTGAAAAATGTTTGAATTATTAGTTCTGGTTAGCTTCTGTTTGGCAAGTTAGTTTTTATTTGGGGATGGGGTCGTCAACCCCATGCCCAATCCTTCCTCCTTTATCCGTGCTTTGGATCGGCAGTAGCTCCGAAGGTTCTACATGCGGAGTTGATATCTTTATTAGTAAGAATTCTAACAATGTCTTTGTCGTTAATCAGAACTCAATTCTGATTAGTGTTGTTCACATTGACTTCATTATATTACCACCTTTTTTAATGACTATCTTGGTTCGAATCTCGATATGCACATCAACACTAAAAGGTGGGTACCAGATGTGATGCAAGGAGAATACTTGATTTGGCTTTTATCCACCACCTGTCTAATTTGAATAAATTCAATCAAAAAGGTCCTATCGAGCTAATCCTAATAGACTGACTAAAGTTCATTCCTGAACATCATTAGTGAGACAACTCAAACTATAACTAGTAATCACTCAATTGTTCAAATCTTGCATATATATTTTCATATTTTTTTTATTTACAACTCATTAAACAATTTTTTTTTACTACTGTATGTTAGATATAATTGGATTCCAGAATCTGATGGTAGAGTGCCGGCTGGTGCTTTAATTGCCGGTGCAACCACTGATGGGTTACCATTGTATGTAGCTCGTGCACCTATAAACGATGAGATGTGCGTGGGCAAAGTAAACCCCAAGTACAAATGTGCCATTATGCCTTGGGGAAATCTTGAACATAAAGTAAAAGATTATGAAGTTCTTTGTTTGATTGAATAAACTTATTATAAAATACGTGAATTCTTTGAAAAATGTATAACAATAATAATATTAATAATCATAACAAATTGGTCATTGAATTTTTGAGTAATAATATTTCATTTAGAAAATGAGGCGACTACGGGGGGGGGAGTTGTTTTCTCAAAATTCATTGCTTCCATTTAAAGTAGTTGTGTCTTTGTACAAAAATGAAATTGTGATACATTATCATTGTTAGCAACTTGCTGAACAATATACATCACTAATCATCCTATCAAGCTTCTATCATTTCACAATTCACATCATTGAGTAAATAGTTATATAGTTAATATAATGAGGTTTGAGTTCGAACTCTGTCATTGATAAAATTCACACCAATATTCGATATCTGTTTTATTTTTTATTCCCTAAACAAAATTTTGCCATTAAAATAAAAATGACTGTTTTTAAGGAAGTAGTCCTTATTCATTAATATTGAAATTATTGTATGTTCTGAAATGTTTGTTTGTTAACTGCGTGTACTGAGTTGGCAATGAACTTTAAGAATATCTGTTTGTTGAACTAGTTGCAATTTAATGAACATACTGAAATTAATTAACGAAATTTGCTCTTCTTTTTTGTCAATTCTGTATCAATTGTTTTTATGCTACTTATAATTTTATTCAGTAAACATAGTGTTCATTGTAAAATAATATCTTTATTTGAAGAAGAAATCGTTTAACAATTGGTATTAGATTAATCATGTTGAAAATACAAATTCATATAATTAATAATTCTGGCTGTCTTTAAACTGGATAAAGTTGAATTGTTTTAAATCAGGGATCCAGAAATGTTAACTAACAATTTTCAAGATAATATTAAGTTTACTGAGACAGTTATCGTGAATAGAGTAAGATATGTATGCAGGAAATGGTAAGGATAAAAAGAAGTGAAAAATTATTAATCCGTTTATGACCTTCATATTCATGTATGACTGATTGTTTTCTGCCATAAAAGTTTAATGTAAAATGTATCAACGACAATGATATTTGCCTGGTGTATTGTGTGAGTTATTCAGATATGTAAGTGTTACGAGATATTATTTTAAATCGGATTTTTGAATGTAAATCAAATTTCCAATCTGTTTGTTGTTGTACCCACTTTTACGTTGAAATGCGTTACAATCGTGCTTGGTTTACAAAGTCGAGTTGCAGGTATGATGCGAAAGAAAACTTGGCAGTGCATGCAGTTTATCTACTTTAGTAGTAGTGTAGTGAAGGAGAACACAGGTGGGGCAACCGAATTGTATTTAACGAAAATTACAGAGTTACTCAGTAAAATTGGAAAACCATATCGTAAATCGTTAATTTGCAAAATATCAATCCATTATGTCGAACTGGACTGTTCCTGTTGCAAAACATCAATCCACTGACAATATTCATGCGTTTGATACAAATTCCATTGTTTTCTAACTCTTCTTTTCTTGATCTTCCCCCATTTTCTGCTGCCAGACCTTACGTTGACGCTCACGTCATATACTACTTATAAGTAGCTCGCACCACAGTAGTATCAACAAAAATAGGAAAATATATCTCAATCACTAATCAAAAATGCACCTGATATCGTCACATATATCAAATTCAGTAACATATCTGTTGTAGTTCGAAAGAAGATATCATAATTTAAATAAATCTCAGGCAAACACACAGTTACTTTTCTTATCCAGACAAGGGTATACATATGCATCTTCAGTTCTGTTTAATAATGGGTCCTACTTACTTTTTGACCATGAAACGTGTTCAAATAAGTTATGCTCTAGAATCCAAGCCAACTGACGAACATGATTAGATTGAAACAGCACGTATTGTTACATGTAAAGAACAGAATTATAGGATTATATTGTTTGAAAGGATTTATTTCATAAATTATTTGCAGAAGACATTGATCACAAGGATTATGACAGTATAAAACAGCATTTGAAAACTAATTAATCTTATTCAGTGAACCGAGACATCATTTTGAGTCGAAAACAGTATATGGATGGATTCATTTCCGGTCCAATTGTAGATTGATTTTGACGTCTACAACAAGAAAAAAGGGAAATAGTAATACGGAATAACGAAAAATACTGTGTTAGATATGCGGTTATATGAACACAGGTACGTGATATTGTTATATTCGACTGGCTTATGAGTAGCACAGGTTTATTCACTCTTTCGATGAAGATGTGTAAGTCAGAAGTTATTTTACGATATTGAGCCGTCAACATACTTTTCATTAGTAAGAATCTAAAATATTCGCCTCCTGAATGACTGAACAGGTAATCCGCTTCCTCCGGGAATATTAAGATACGTTCATAGTAATGAACCATGCATTGATTTAAATGCCTATTTTATAAATATTCGGCAGTTTGCTGTAAACGTTTCTTTTATTTTGAAAAACTGATTAGATGGATAATAAATTGGTTGAGTATCTATCAGTAAAAATACTAGATCATACTTATGCAAACGCATATTAAAAACCGACAATCTCATTAATAATCGTTTGTATACAACAGCCTACTGACAATATTACAGTAGTATAGAAATTCGCTTCCAATTTGTTTATGAAGATTTTTATAAAGGAATTTCAACACTGACAGATCACCAGAAATAAAGTTGACAGTATGAGGTGGGACATGATTTGAAGTGATTGCTAAATTAAAACTATTAAATTTAATCATGCACACTTAATTCCATTTCCACAATCTCACTGGATCAAATCACTGGACAAATACTAATCTCACACATCAGAAGTTACCAATTAATCACTAACAAGCTTTCCCCTTAGTCCTGATCACATGATAGAATATATTAATTCAACAGATAGAGAACTGGTGGTCAAAAATTCAACATCTGAAACTCCAGAATCAGATCAAATTTTTAGCTCATCCACAACCTATGGTGATTAATTCAATAACTAACAGATTTTAAGCATTGAATTAAACGAAATAAGAACATTGGAGAGATTTAAATCCAGTTCATCATCCACAATCATTTGATGATACAAGATAAAAAAGGAACAGTAGACTGATTCATATTGATAATTATTGCTGTTTCGTTAATGCACCAGCATATATCATTCTCAAATGAAACAGATGATTCAGATTCAGCATTACTTCCAGCCATCACATATTGGGGGACACAGTTGTTGGCGTCGCAATTATTCGACAGTGTGCCTGCCGCCGTGTCCCAGCATCGGGAACTGGTAAACGCTACACGTTGAATAGATGCCGTATCAATTCCAGACCAGTGCGCAAGTACGATGACCGAAGTGGTAATCCGGCATATTGTAGTGTGTCACGGAACACGGAAGGTGATACTAACTGACCAGGGGGCCTGTTTTGAAAGACTACGACGACAGCTTAATAAAAGGGGGGACGAGTGTGGTGTGAGCTACTTACAAGTAGTATATGACGTGAGCGTCAACGTAATGTCTGGCAGCGGGAGATGGGGGAAGATCAAGAAAGGAAGAGTGGGAACACAATCGAATTTGTATGAAACGCATGAATAGTGATAATCAATTGATGTTTTGCAACAGGAACAGTCCAGTTCGATAGGATGAACTGATATTTTGCAAATGAACAATTTACGATATGGTTTTCCAATTTTACTGAGTAACTCTGTAATTTCGCTAAATACAAATCGGTTGTCCCACTTGTGTTCTCGTTCACTACAATATCGCTTGACATCATCAGACCTGATTCAACTATGCATGTCGACTAAAACGCTTGCTCACTCATTCACTCATTATCTAGTAGATATCTCCAATATATTACAAACACTAATCCATTGAGAAATCGGACTGACTGTGCTAGAACATCTCGTTAGTAAACCATAATATTAGCAACTCGTAATCAATAATCAAAAGTTCGTCGAATCATTCAACAGATGTGTGATTGATTGGACAGACAACGTAAAACAAACTGCCCTATGTCATGTTCATTAACTATTGCAATGAATATTACACCACTTTACTCTGTTTGTCGGCTACTGGAGGAGGGAGATATGTGTGATGAGTAGAAGATGAAATCAATCACACCGTTATATTCGATGAGAGTATGGAAGAATAATGTGTTGATCAGTGATTACGGTAATTGCGACCAAGGTTGTATTGAACAGGGATAAAAAATAATTGGAAATTGTTGCTTGCAGAACGCATACCGAATAGTTCAGTCAACATGAAATGAGAAATGGTAGAGCAATTTGTAACTAGGTGCACTGAAGATGTCATGCATATTCATGTCTGGAGATCACTTTTGTTCGTAACACCTTCCTAATTGAATAAAAGGAGTTCGAAAGCATATTAAAAGGTTAGTTGTGACGTAGAAAATTGAGTGATCTAAAGGGATGCGTATGACGGTGTATCGAATGAAGAAGTGGTGAGGATGTGTGACCGACTGTGCTTAACTAAGTTGTGTCCATTCAAACTACTGATATCAGCATCAATGCAAAAGACTTAGAGAATCATTCATTGTGTAGTTTTAAACACCGTCACTTTACAAACTACTGAACTTCAACCAATAATGTACACAAATGTGAGAGTGATATAGTAATAGTTTAAACAGTTTTTTTTTTATTTCTGCTGATATAAATAATATCGGTGAATATTTCTCGTCTACAACATTAGTGATTCAATGAATCATTTAATTTTTTAACTATAGTTTTTTTGCAAAAAAACAAACATCTATTTAAGTTCACATAAATGACCTCCATTTTTTCAAGTAAAATAATCATATGATGACTGTTTTAAGTAACAATAACAATGAGATAGAATTGTCAATATAACAAAAACAATAGATTCTATATGAAATATATGTATATATCTCATTAACCTTTGTTGAAAATAATAGACGCAAGAATTTCAGTTAATTATACTTTTAGATTAATTAACTAATTAGTTTCGAGAAAAAA